AAGGTTTTTCTGAGCCTCAACCTCCTGCTCGCCCCTGGCCGTTTCGAACTGGAAGAGTCTCGTAAAACAGTGTGTTCGTGCAATCACTACTGCGTGATGCAGGTTAAAGACAACCCCCCCCGGGGCTGGCGGTCACAATTCTGCACTGGCAAATATTCTAGCACGTCCGGGACACTCGTCGTCTCATTTAATTGCCTGACCAACTTCGCAGAATCTAGATATCACACCCTAACTTTTCTAAACTTGATTTTGTGAAAACCAGTGAGCAGTGAAAACATTATTCGAAACTGAAACTGTGGAAAAACTTGAAAATCGGACTTCGAACTTTGAAAACTTGGATTAGAAAAAAATTCAAAATCTTCGAAGTTTTTTTTTTTATTTTTTATTTTAGCGTTAAAAGAGAATCGAAACCTTCGACCTTTTCGAACTTTATGCAAAAAGAAATTCGAAATCTTCAAATTGTTCGAACTTCATGTCTATAAAAATTCGAAGCGTTCGAAGTTTTCGAATTTTTTTTACAAAGAATTTAGAAATTTTCGAATGTATCGAACCTGAAGTAAAAAAATATTCGAAATATTCGAATTCGAAATTTTAGAAACCGTGAAAGCTTCGAAATTTTCGAATTCGAAACTCCGCTGTGGACAAAAGTTGCGAATTTTTCGAAATCGAACCTCGGTCGGTACGAAAATATCGAAATTTTTCGAAATCGAACCTCAGTTCGCTTCGCAAATATCGAAACCTTTCGAAATCGAACCTTGGGTGGTTCGCGACATCCCTAATTGTTAGTAATGATTTCCAAGCGTTACCCATGCTGGCAAGAGAGGAAAGGTGATGAGACGTCCGCATTCACGGGAAAGGACTGGTCAGAACCGGCGGTTGTTTAGAGACAACAGCTTTGTCGATATTGTGACGAATGACGATTGACGAAGCGACGAGTGACTGAAGGAAACTAAACGTTTCATGGGAAGAACTTGTGCCCAAAACAAAGGAGAAGAAAGCTGGCGTCGCAAGCGTCGATGGCGGCATAACAGCAGGATCCAGCGCTAGGGCGCGGAGCCTAGAATCTTCTTCCTCGATCATTCACGAACTATGCATTCTAAACATGAACAAGCTATAGATGGTTCTTCAACCTTCTCGCATTTTCTGCTTACATCAAGAAAGATAAAAACAACACGCAGTGCCGGGAATCGAACCCGAGCAACGTGCGTGTCAGTCAAGCGCGCTGCCGACTTCGCTACACGTAAGCGCTCGGCAATATATATAATGGAATTCCCTTGTTGGTTCAAAGATCGTTAGATCCATAAACACCTTACACAAAGTGACTACAAGACACCGTTATGTCTTTCAGTAGATTAGCCTATATGAACTCGACATTTGCTTTACCTATGCAGACGCTTTAAGATAAGCGAGCCTGAGATAATAATAATAATGCTTTATTCGCATCACGCCCCAGAACAACCATAGGTCATATTGGGTCGGCGCATAAAATGGCAGTACAAAAATTTAACAGACTATCTGCCACTGGTCAAAGGCATAAAAATCAGGAATTAAAAAAAAAATGATTTCAGCACTCTTTTAAAGATTAAACTATCTGAAAACATATCAACATGAGAGGACAGTTCATTACTACAAATCTGCATCCTTACCAACGGTGACAATTTCGATCCAATGGAGTGGTAAAATACACTCAGTCTTCTAACAAGGCGAGCTGGTACATGAAATTTTAACGATGACACTAATTCATTACCTAGACGGTCGTGTACAACCTTATGTAAACATAGAACGCCATGAGCTATTCTTCTATTTATTTACGTATTTATTTATTTATTGAAAGTACCTTCAGGGCCCGAAGGCATTACAGAGGGGGAGAGCACATACATGAAACAAAGATAGTAAAATAGTAACAAGTCAACAGTATTACATAAACAACAACAAAAAAAGAAAAACAACAGGTCATGGGTCACTGCTAAGATAGTTAGTGATGGAATTTTTAAACAGGTTAGTATCAGTTATAGCAGCAATCAACCCTGGGAGGTGGTTCCATTCCTCGGCTGTGCGGGGCTAAAAAAAAAGATTGAAATGTTGTGGTAAATGAACTTGGAACTCCAACTTTGTGGTGATGGTCAAGACGGGATGAAATGTAAAAGGGGGAGTAATCATCTAATTGCGTAGAAGAGGATTATGAAAATACATTTTATGAACTAGACATAGGCGTGAAATTTTACGCCGCGAGGACAGGTGAAGCGGCTTCTCTTTTACGTTGAGGTGGGAAGCGCAAATGACCATCTCGTTGAGGGAATGACCACTCCGCGGCGTCGTCGACTTTGCCGCGCAGAATTTCAAATATATCTCTCGCCATCAATATTGCCCTATACTTTTTTTTTTCGCGTAAAAATTTTTTTTTTTTTGTGACACGCGTGAGACAATTAACCACTTAAAAAAAAGCTTTTTCTTCTTTTCAGTGAAGTAAAATAGGAATTACCAACAAGGTAGTTGAAGCCATCATTCGTTAGTATATCTACCCATAAGGACACTGCATAGGATTCAAGGTGTAGCCTTATGTAGAAATTAAGATAATCGCCCCCCCCCCCCCCCCCCCCCCCAAACAACCCAGTCCCTACCTTTACAGTGAACAGCATAGGACGAAGAAAAATAGCCCGCGCTAGATAACTCTTCTAAAAGCCATGTTTCTGGTCGAAATAATGCCAAACTTTGTAGAAACGACGTTTGCCATGCAGTCATCTGCTTTAGTCCGCGAGTATTCTGACAGAGCACTTAATTCCGCTGGCCATTTCGTGATGCATCCGGATTATTCAAAATGAATGAGCGTGTTAAATCCAGCTTCCCGAAAAACTGGTGGAATATACATCCCTCAGGCCACACGCCTGGATTAATAATTACTTCAAACATGACCTGGTCCACCGAAATATGAAGAGTGGAGTAGTACGAGTATTTCGTTTTCCTTTTAGGGCAACAGCTAGCTTTGCCACCTAGTAATGGCTCAACAAGACTGGTGACATCCTCGACTGTTGCTACAGGGTCAGGTCGAGGAACAAACAATGCCTTTCCAGTAGGCGGCCGAGGTACAACGGTTCCTTTCGACAATTTCGCCCTTCCGACCGATGGCTTGCTTCGTCATCGAGGGGACACCAGAGTGCAGCCTTCGGCGACGGCCACACTCTGCTCGTCACCCTGTCGACGGTCGTCACCAGTTCTTGTGGCAACTTCTTCCGAACGGTAGACGTTCCTCGGTTCCTAGCAGCTGGTCCCGTAGGCATGGAGATCGCACCGCTGCTCGAGATGGAATTCGCCGTCGCTCGTGCTCCCAGATTTTGTCGTGATGATGCAGCAGATGAGTAGATATAGCTCGGTTGTTTAGAATTGAGCCCTCTCTGATTGAGCTGCTTTCGGAATTCGACAACTTCGAAACGAAGAGAGTGGCCAGCCGCTCTCAGGCACTTCACTTCGGCGGTTAATACGTCCAACTTGGCATTCATCCTTTGCAACGCTGATTCCAAGTCGTAGGTAGCGTGCGTGGGTTCACTGCCAGTATAACGAACTGATTCATAATCTGCGTCTAAACCAGACGCATCCGTTGACTCTTCGTCCAGATTAGGCTTATTATCTCCGCCAGCGCTGCAGTGTCGCCTCGGGTGCCGTCGTTACATTTGTACGTGCTTTTGCCTGATGCCATGGGACGTTGCATTCTTCGAGTCCTACTTTTATACAGTCGCAGTGGAACGTGCGTTTGCAGCCACCAGTACACGTGATGAATTGCTGAGCAGCTCCCGCAAACGACCTTTCTTCGGCGCCATCTTGATTTTGATCCGTCAGACCAGGCCTAGAGGATTCCTATCTCTGAGGCATCATTCGCGGGTCTTGCGAATGGGCCAACTGTTCATGAATCATTCGGGGATTCCGACTGCACGGCAGGGTGATGCGTCATATACGGAGACCCTCCAGCATTTCGTGGCACTCTGGGTGAGTCACGCTCGAGAAAATGGGTGATCTCGTCCAGTTAAGCGGCGGAGGCGAAAGCGACGTTGCTGCCAATCGTTGGCGAGTCCGAAATGGCACGTTTGATCCCCTGGCATAAATGATTTTCGCAATTTTTCGCAACGCCGTTGCACTCTCCTCAACCAAAATCGAACGGTCTGATTTTGGACAAGGTGAGAGAAACAGCGTTCTCAGCTGATTATTGGGCGTGGCACCACAGCTTGCACGTAACCGACCAATGAGACATTATTGACCCGTTCGCAAGTTCACAGTCGAGCAATATCTTTGCGAGAAAAACGTGTCACCAACATACATGTAGCGAGAGAGGTCTCGCGGCCTCTTGCGTGCTTGTCCTTATACTCCTTCATCCACCGGTCGATATCAGCGTGCGTACGGCAGCAGTACAACTTCCAGCATGAAATACACGATCCCAATCTCAGCCTGCGTCCGATCTTACTTAACCGCGGTGCTGGCTTCGTTGCAGACGATCAACATTTTTCGTCCCGTCTGTTAGCAGACGACGTACGCTGTTTACTTGTTCTACTGCCGCCCACAAAGAACGCTATCAGACGAACCGCGTTCTTCGCCCGCGTTGGCAGACGAATCGTCTCCGAACCCTATCTTAGCTCGCTCAGCGAAAGGCAAGTTCTATCTCGCTCACGCGGTAACCCAAATCGGACGCCCTATAGACCCCTTTCGAAATTCACGTACCGAATATTAGAAGGTCGGAACCACTGCACAATGGCGAAACAACTGCATCGAGGAACGTGCAAGTCATTCCATAAGATAGCAAACGTCGGAGCGGGGCCAACACTACGAGCCGACGAGCCAATAAAACTGCGTCAAAAGTGCAACGTCACTGCGCTCCTCATCTTTTTCTGTGGGTGTGATTTTTCCAGTGTGCCGTGACGTTGAGGTATTGGTCCGCCATTGTGCAGGTATTCCACAGCTGCCATCAGAGGGCAGTATTTCGAAAGGGGTCTATTTTCCCTCCGCGGACTCACCTTGTGAATGGGCGTTCCCCAGAAGTCGTTGGCGAAGAGCTGGCCGAGCGGCGTGCCGGGCCTCAGGTCCCGGTTGTCCCGCACGGCCGAGGCGTCGTCGAACACGAAGCCGCAGCTCATGGCGTTCGAGTAGCACAGCCAGCATAGCGCCGCCACGCACAGGTACCAGCGGCGACGCACCCCGCCCCGCCTCCGCTGCCAGCGCCCGGAACCACCGCCGCAGCAGGTCTGCGTACACGCGAGGGTGACGAGGACGTGAATCCGGGGCTCGAGTGGCCCGAACTGGCATTGTGAGGAGTTCATAGTCTAGTCACAAAGAGGGCTAAACAGCGGGCAAAGAACGAGGGAGGCAAGGAAGGCCTATACACAGTGGCGTACCAACTTGATTTTGAGTGGGGGGGTGGGGGGGGGGGGGGGGGGGGGGGGCAAACCAGACGTGGGGGGGCAAAACACATGCCTTGCCCCCCACCCTGAGAACTGGGGGGGGGGGCCAAGAGCCCCCCTTGCCGCCGCCGCCCGCCCCCGCCCCCCCCCCCCCCCCCCGGTCGATACGCCTATGCCTATACACCTCTTAGCGTTTTTTTGAGCGCTATGCATGCAGTTGCGGGAGGCGGCTGCAGAACGTTGCGGTGAAGCGCAGTAAACGGAAGTTGAGCCAAATAAAAGCGCGCTATTGTCGCTGGCGGCTCTCCAATAGTAAGCGAAATCCACGGTCACATGGCGTCGCCCGGAGAAAGCGTCGAAGTTGACCGAGGTGGCCGACCTTCGGACGATCCCGCTGGCTTCGGCGACTCTGTCCAGACGGAACCATCGCGGTTGTGGAAAAAAACCTGCTGCTCCGCGTCCTCACAACACCCATGTCTACACACCAATGGGCGTAAGTCTCTGAAACACCCTTTTTATACCCTAAGGGGTATACATATTTTAAGTGTGCACGAATGAACCGATTTTGCCAGGCTGCTGGTGTAAACGGCGGTCTAACACGTAACCCCCCGTACAAAAATGTCAGATGAAAGTCAGATTCGGACCGCCTTGTCCACTGTCAGTCAGGCATCTCCAACTTCAATCTGCGCTCGATGGTTCCGGTCGATCCAAAACGAACCCGGGGATTCCAGTCTGGCACAATGCAACCGTCCTTATAGTCCCCCCCCCCCCCCCCCCCCCCCCTCTTTATTTTCTCTCCAGTTTTTGACATAAAGATTTGCAGGACGGAATTTATAATCAAACGAGACGGTTCAAGATTCCACCAGGATTCGAGTTCTATATTATCGCACAATATGAGCGCGCTGTGTATTTTTAGAGGATGTACTTGCTCTGCTCCGCCCGTCCGACGGCCAGGTCGGCTCCTCGTCAGCGGCCTTCCAATGCTCTGGCGGCCGATTCCGTCGTACTACTGGCATGCTTATGACGCCACTAATATGACAGTGATAATGCGGGACACCTTCCCATCCGCAAGGCGGGCACGGGTGTTGGGCTGGCTGCCCAAGCAGGGTTGGGCAGTATCGCGATACAAAGGTATCGCGATAGTATTTCAGAAACACATTTCGTATCTGTATTTCTGTATCGCGATACATTTTTTTCACCCGTATCTGTATTCCTGTATCGAAATACATTTGGAATGTTTCTATGTATCGCGATACAATCAGGAGGAAATGTATTTCGTTACATTTCTTGAGAAATACTCGCCCCCCCCCCCCCCCCCCAACCCACCTCCTCCCAAAATACAAATCCGAACGCCTTTTTTTTTTTTTTTTTTTACTTTTTAGCGCAGCAGGGTCAAAGAGGTGCTGGGGCATTGTTACTATGCTGACCAAGGTTCCTTCCGATTCTCCAAACTATTTTTCTATGCGTCCTCTTCTCTCTTCTGAGAAGTACATAGTCGGGGATTCGAACGAGGTGGAGTGCCAGGAGTGGAGTCAGAGCATCTTCGGCCACAGGTCCCTAGGTAGGGATTTCATGAGTCACTGTTTGCTGGCATCCAATGCCCGCTGCTAACCGTCTGTCTTCCCTTAGCGTACACAGTACACCCAGCCGGCAAAGCTGAGTCACAGCCCGTTGCAGCACGAGCCGGGCGGTGGTTGACTTGAAGTAGTAGGATGACTCACGCAATGAAGTTCAACACATATCCGAATGCGTCTGCGCCAGTAATATTGGACGGCTCAAGGGTACGTCATGAACATGACCCGCTCCTCTAATGATCCGAAACCCAGCAAGCAGTCCAGACGTGGCCTCGCTGTGCTGACACAGACTTCGTACACCTGCGACTCGTCTCGAGCGCGCTGTTTCTCGGAGAGCTCAAACCTGTGTCGGCAATATTTTGTATACCCGCGATCTCGGATTACATGTTTGGAGTTTTCTGGTCTCATCGTGAGTAAATGTACTGTACCGCCCGAAGCTTGTGGAAACGGACGCTCGCCACGCTCTTTCCGGTTTCTGTATACGTAAACAATCGTCGCGACGCTTCAATTGCTAAAGTTTTTTTGCCTAGCGATTTGTGTTTCACACAGCGGTTTGACGTTCGAGCTTGTACGCAATTAACATAGGCTGCATTACGTAGATGCGACCGTAGAGCACCGAATCGAGAGTTGACTGTTTTGATTGGTAGCAGATGGGTAGGAGAGGAAGAAGTTGGAAGACAGACTGCGTGCGACTGGTCCCTTTTCGAGTCCGTGCGCTACGGTCGCATTCATGGAAACGTAGGCACAGGCCATGTGGGCTGCAATATTAAACGCGGATATTTTAAATCCGACGTTGAACCTAACTCGAAAGAGCGATACGGACGTTCTAACGTTATGTCGCGCCTACGAAAAAGGAAAGTTTGTTTTTTGCAGTCGTCACTTCAACGCTTTTTTTTTTTAATCCGTATTTGCGAAACACGGCTGCGTACTTCCTAAGTTTGAAGACAACATTTCTTCTTGGATCGAAAACATAGAAATGACGGAGGGGAGGCATTTTCAATTTGCTTAATCACGTTGACCCCAAAAGACCCCCCAGCCTGATTCGCTGTATAATGAATTTTTGAAGCGGCATGCGGACTGAACGTCCAAATACACGTGCTTAATATTTACGGCTTCTTTTTGTTAATGCGTTTAACGTACACATTGGGAGACAACAAAAATAATTCCCATTTACGCAAATTTGGTGATCGCAGTAACCCAGCAAGCTACAGACGCGTTTCATTGTCTAGTCTACTTAATGTAAACTTCTCATACACATAACCTTCAAACATATAATACGTTATCTCGAAATAAATAATATTCTAATCACATGTTAACGTGGTTTTAGGAAATGTTTATGAATAGTCACACAGCAAACAGCGGCAGTGCATTCTTTATCGAGCTCGATAAACGATCGGGGACAAAGAGACGTATAATTTCGCTAGACTTTTCTTAAAAGCTTTTGATCGCGCCTCACATCCCAAACAACCTGCTCAAGCTCTTTCCAATTTTCAAAAACGAGCAATCATTTAACTGGCTTACTGATTACATGTCTCATCGATCCCAATGTGTCCAAATCAATAGTAAGTCGTCTGCACCCTCTTCCCGTCACCTCGGGAGTATACCACAGAAATCGGTGATTGGACCACTTCCATTTTTTATTTTTTGAACAACATTTTCAGAGACATCCAGGTTCCAGTGAAACTCTTTGCAGATGACTGCGTCATTTATTCCGAAATAGCAACCCAACAGGATATATACAGAAGATACAGGGGTGGACAAGTGGATGGCAGATGCAAATGAATAAAGAGACAACCCTAGCCATGTCGATAACCCCAAACTTAAAGTGTTATACAAAATATATCTACACTGTAAACGGAAAAGATATACATACTGTAGATCATTATAAATAATCGGCGTTAGCTTAACCAAAAAAAAAAAAAATAGGAAAAGAACTGGCTTGGAAGCAACATAGTGACAACATTCTGAACAAGGCGAAAATTAAGTTTTTTACTCCGACGAACAAAAAAAGTATATCATAAAAAGCACTAATTAGACTTATGCTGGAGTGCGCTAGTACAATTTGGTTTCCCCACACGGCAGACGGATTGAGCAAATGGAATACAGGGGTGTCCAATTCATTCTCAACGCCTTCGGAAAGCATATTTGTACGTTACCAATGTTCCAACATTACAAGTCAGGGCAGCGATAAACAGATTAAAATATTTTTATTCCTTCCTTCGTGGCAAATTTAAACTTAATGTCGTTAATTGTGTTACGTTCTCCACCGGATCGTCCAGAATCAATCATACCAAATATATCCAGCAGTGCAGATTTAAACCCAAAGTCTGAATATATTAACTTTTTCCTCTAGATAATGAAAGCAGTAGGAACACTTTGTTCAATTGACAAATTTACCGATGCTGTTAACGAGATGTTTTTAATTAGATCACTTTTGTGCGCATTTTCCCTTTTCTGTATATTTATCTAGAACACTGTTGCGTGTATGTTTTTTTCTTCTTCTGCATATTTCACCATTGTACGGTCACTCCTGCCAAAGCTCTCAATGAAGAGCCTTAGCTTTCCCTTTTACGTTTGAAAAGATAAATTTAGCGAAGTTTCGTGTTTCTTTTTATCTACTGCGTGCGAACAAAAATCGTTCCTTGAGTCGCGAATAACGTGTTGCCCTAAACGCAGTGCTGTAGTTTGATTTGCGTTCTGTAGAGCGGCTTCAAGTTCGCACTTGTATGCGACGTAGGCTTGGTATGACGTAATAATAAAGTCGTGGATAATTTAAAACGGATCACTCGGTGTCGTTTTTTCTACTAATTTTCGAGCGACTTTTCAATCCACCGCATGACACACGAAAACTGGCTGGCGTTGTCGGTGGAATTCACAAAGAGTTGTGGCGCATATATGTTAGGCCCAGTGTCGAAGCTCCCGACACATTGGCATTGCGTACCCGGGGAATTTACCTATCTAATTGTGTCTTTGCGGCGATGGAACAACCGATCATTGCCTAAGTCGAAGGGTCGGATTCCAGCAGGTTGGACCGGATTTAAAATGAATTCAAAATTGGACACAAAACACCTTCCAAACTACAAAAAAAAAAAAAAAGTTTCGCCCGCGGAGTAAATTTGACGTTTTGTTCACGACCAATTTCAGATTCGGAATGATTATAATATTTTTCATCCTGGTTTCAGTCTGGCATTTTCGTACGCGTGCGCCACGGGATTCAGCGATATTATATTCCCAGAGAAAAGTTCCAAAAAGAGGAATCTGTAACTGCAG